GTCCCTTCAAATAGTGTCCTAGAACTTGATTTCTTTTCATTTTTTCTTTGTCCCTTCTCACAAAATTCTTCAAAGCTTTAACAAGTCTCTTGTAAATACAATATAAAAAAATTATCCAGGTCACTCTCTTGGTTTGTTATTTGTATATTCCTTTTAATTATTAAGACATCAGCCAGTTTCTTTTGTATGTCCAGAGTAACACATTTTTTCTCACAAAATTCTTCAAAGCTTTAACAAGTCTCTTGTAAATACAATATAAAAAAATTATCCAGGTCACTCTCTTGGTTTGTTATTTGTATATTCCTTTTAATTATTAAGACATCAGCCAGTTTCTTTTGTATGTCCAGAGTAACACATTTTTCCATGTCACTTTTATAGCCTGTCATTTTTAAATCCACTTTCAAATCAGTTTCAATCATGTCAGGTAATACTTGTTCCTTTTCCATAGCATCTTTTAAACACAGTCTGTCTATAGAGGCAGACACTCTTATGCCCTGTCAAATGTTCTATCAAAATTAATTCCATATAAATATTGATTTGGATTACAGCCATAGGTGGGCAGGAAGATAAATAGATAACTAGCAAGCCAGCAAAACAGCAAGTCTTTTTCTACTTCTCTGCTTAAATTAGCCACGCAAATAGAACTAAAAATGTATTAAATATTGCCACTAACAGGATTTCTTTAGAAGTACAGTTACAAATGGACCTTTTATAGTGGAATGTATATGATGACAATTTCATGGAGAATCCAAATACTGTTATTCTTTTATCATCAGCACATTTATGTGTGTGTGTGTGTGTACACACGCACGCGCAAAGTATATAGTGACTGGTCCAAGGTCATCCAGTAAACTTCCATAGCTGGGGATAGACCTGGCGTTACTCCAGAATTTTACCTCCTTTTTTCCTACATTTTGCTTCATAGTGATAGCCTATTTAAGGCAGAAAAACCCAGAGTAGAAGTAGCACATATCTCTAAAGTAGTTGTATAGAAAACTCTGCTTTCTGGCCAAGGAATGTTCTGATGTTCCCTGGAATATTTTGGTTTTTTCCTAGAACATGCCAACCTGCCCATTCTGGGGGTTGTCCACAATTTTCCAGAGGTAAATCTTCTAAAACAGTGTGAATTATTTCCTGTTCTAGAAGTTTTACTTCCAAAATATTACAAACCACCTCTGAACAACCAAACTGGCACACTCTGGGAAAAAGAACAGACTATTCCAAGGAACATTCTACACCTAGAACAGAGAGTTTTGCACATTCCTGCTTTAAAGAGCTAGACTATTTTTGCTGGTAAGGTTCAAAATTAAAATTTTGAGGGGGAGAAGACCTTTAAGGGTGGGTCCAACTTGCATATGAGCAAAACCTGGATGTTCCGTTTTTCCCAGGATTTGGGGGGAAGGCTAGATTCCCTTTCTCTTCCTCTCAGTCTATTTTAAAGCTTACTCTGCTATTTTCATATCTCACTTTAGTGGCAGTAGAATGTGGGCACCCACATGTCACGGAGAGGCATCTGTGGGGTGTGACTTGACAACATGTGGTTTCATAGCAACTTTATTTAGAAGCAGGTGTGCAAGGCTCCCTCCAAACTGAAACTAAAAAGGCATCATCAAAGGCACTAGATGCTCTAATGGCTCCAAGCAGTGAACATTACTTGACAAATCTGAAAGTTAATGCTGTATGAGCTTCTGAGGTTTATGGATTTCTGTTTTTTAGTGAAATTTTAGTGATTTTGAAATGCTATAGATTCATCTGACCCTTTGTTTCCAACAGCAACACATTAGAATGCAAGAGTCATGGATGAAATATGATGGCATCTGTTAATGATTAAATCACTTGCCATAAGTCAAGCAAGAATAATTAATCTGGCTTCTTTCAGGAGCTGAACAAATATAACGTGCAACATGAGTTTTGCAAGATAGCCTTATCACTCAACGTTTGACCTAGATACTACCCATTAGCATGAATTTAGAAGCACTGAATCAATAAACTGCTGCTTGACATCAAAATGCCACTGCTGGAGGGGGGTGAAACTCTCCTCTCTGTCCCACTTGGCTATATATTAAGTTAGGGGAGGGAAGCTGGATAAGCTAAACACCTATGCAACTGCAGCCCAACTCAACCAATCTAAGGCATAAGCAATACTGGAATGACAAAGCAATCCCATTGGCAATTAGTCGCCCACTAATAATTCAATTTTTCCTAATCTAGTCAGGATGATAGCTTCTACAATTCTCATGTTTATCTGGCACCAGTATTAAAGTGGTTTGCTGTTGCTTTCTTCCAGAATACTTTTCCACTTTCCATTCTAGCCTACTGCCTTGGGATTCTTGGTAGCCTCTCATTCAAGTACTAGACCATGCCTTCTTAAACCAGGCAAGGTCAGACAGATGCTGCAGAAACTTAACTGGAATTAGCGCAGCTCTTTAAAAATATGCCAACAGGGGCACACTCATTTTTGTTCTGTAATGTTATTTGTAAATCTTGCAACCTACTTAAGAAAAAAATGCATATATAAACTTGTAGAATAGCCCCTACCAAGACACTTCTTTTTCACCCTCTCCAGTTCATTCTCTCTTCTTGCTGATAGCACAAGCCATGAGCCAATCTTGGCCAGCTGGTAGGCTAACTCTTCTCCAATTCCACTGGAGGCACCAGTCACCCAGACAACTTTCCTAGGCAGTTCTTTTTCTGTGGGAGGAAAAAAAACACCAAAAAAGATAGTAAGAATAGGTTTTCAATGGCAACTTTGGAGAATATGTGCAAGCAAGACACTATTTTTAGCCATGGTTAGGGTTTATTTATTTAAATCTTATTTAAATCTATTTATATGGCCACCCATTTCACTAATGCAACTCTAGGTTGCTAACAAAAGTTAAAAAATACAATATAAATATTAAACCAAAGATAGCAGACTCTTAAGATATTTGAAAACCAGTAAATGTATTATATCATACCCTTTCCTGCACTAAACTCCACAAAAGCTTCAATCATAAGAAATGTATGTGTGTTTAAAGTGCCACCATCCTTTCTTGTCTTGAACATACTCAGAGCTGAACTTCAAGGCTGCTGAGGCATGACCCAGGCCAATTTATCATTAGGCAACAGAAGAAAGTAAACTCTCAAACTACAAGGTAGTTTACAGAAAACAATCTCCCTAAGGACGTCATTGACTTTAACTGTGTATCATTTGCCCAAACATAAATCCCCAAGGACTTTGCTGTGTCAACAGAAAGAACCACATTGTCAAAATTTGCAGGCAACGAAGCAAACGAGACTCTGCCAAATGTCTGTCTATGTCTTTAGCAACAAGTTACTAGGCAGATATATGCTCTGGAATACATAAGTTTATTCTGAAAACAGAAGGCCTCTCTGGAGCTTTCACAGCACATAATGGAGATAATCTTGTTTTTGCTATTGCTCAGAAGGATATAATAAAGATAAACTTTGTTTTAAACAAAGATAGAAACATAAGGAAGGTCATGCTGGATCAAGCCACACTTCTATCTTTTCCAAAGTTTCCCACAATGGCAATTAGATGCCAATGGGAAATCCCCATGCATGACATGAATGAAATAGTGTTCTTGTTCCTAGTGACTAATATTCATATTGCCAGAGATACTGGAGGTAATATATTGCCATTCTAACTAATCTTCTTCTAATCCTTGAGAGGAAGACTGCCACAACATATTTTGGTAGCAAATCCCATTCTTCAACTAAATATTAAATGAAGTACTTTCTTTTGTCCAGAATCCCCACTGTTCAGTTTCTTTGAATTACTCTGCATTCTAGAGTAATGAAATAGAAACACATCTGTTTATTCATTTTCAAATTTAGCATTCTTTTATTGTAGTGCCTGTTACTTTTTTTTCGGATAAACATAAAAGTCCTTCTTCACATAATAGCAGAGTTGTTCTAGGCTCTGATCGTTCTGCTTGCCCTTTCTTACACCATTTAGAACTCTACAACATCCCTTTTTTTAGGGAAGCTGATCAAAACTGTAAAGTCTCCAACCTGAGCCTTCTAGTTATGCTAGGCTACAAATCTGAACATTCCCAGCCAGCAAGGCCAAACCCCAAAACATCTAGAAAACACCACACTGGAGAAGGCTGCTGTACAAAGGTGTAACCAATCTCAACAATCTTCTTTTGACTCAAAATAGCCAGAAAATGGAATGTTGTTTACATAAGAATACTGGCCATCTAGTGCAGCATTTTGAGTCACATGGGGGGTTAACTGAATGCATGTGGGAATAGCTCCCTTCCACTGTTATTTGCCAGCAACTAGTGTTGAGTGGTGCCTGTAATACAGAAGATAATAAGCAGTCATCAATATAGCAACCATTGATAATCTGAACCTCCAGGAACCTATTCAGTCTCCTTTTAACATCATCTAAAGTGGCTGTCATTACTGTAACTGTTGGTAAGGAATTTCACAATTTATCTACAATGCTGTGTAGAAAAAGGGAAATAATTTTCTTCTGCTGGATCTGGATCTCCCTGCGGTTAGTGTCAATGGTTGACCCCAAGTTCTAACAATAGACTCCACAAAAACGTAAAACTATAAGAACTGTATTTGTCTTTAATATGTCACAACTCTTTGTCATCTTGAACACATTCAGCGCTGAAGTTCTGTGAGAGAAAAACTTCTCCCTCGCCATGTTATCTATGGTCATGCACAACTGTTTGTTTGTTTATTGGATTGTTAAGGCTGCCCAACACCAAAAAGACTCTGGGCATCTTACAATATTTCCAAAGCATAAGTTAAAAACAGAGCTAAAAACCACACGATTGCCTAGACAAAAACAGCACTCCCAACATCCAAGAAAGACTCAACAGGGGCTCCACAGACACTCTAACCCTAGGCCTGGGAACAGAATCAGATCTTAAGAGGCTTCCAGAACCCTTGGAAAGTGGGAGCTGGGCATATCTCTGGGGTTCTGGATGCGGTTCCAGAGGGCAGGGGCAGTGACAGAGAAGGCATGCTTCCTCAGTCCCACAAGATGACCTTAATATGCAAGTTGTTAATAAATCAGGTGTTAGTTTCAGCTTATTGGTTTTATGGATTTTACAAATGATTTTCTCATCTTTTATGGGAGTTTTTTTTTTCCTTTGTATTTTATTGCACTGCATTTACTACTGTTAACACTTTTCAATGAAAGGTCTGATAGACAATTAATATGCATGTATATATATTTATATATTAACATGTATAAATCCATCCATCCATATCCTACCAGTCATAACAGTAAGCCTTTTTCGGATGTTTTCATACGATATCAACGCCTAGCCACTCTGACTGGTTTGGGTGTTGCATCACTTGAGGAGAATGTTCTACAGCAGTAACTATGTGCTGTGCAGATAAGAATACCAAAGCAGATAATTCATCTGCAGAGACCATGTGCAATTGCAAATAAAGGAAGAGTATACTACAACATAATGGAAACCATTTCTTCATCTTGGAAGTGTTCCTCGTTGTGCCAGGGCAGAACTATACTATTCCATATAACCACTTGACATCCACTTTAGAGCTGCTTCTTTTAAAAAATAAAGCAATGGTGTATCAACACAATATTGAAAACAAGAATAGTATAATAAAGAACAAAGAAAGAAAAACTAACAGGATGAAAAAAATAAGAAAACATACTTTGGGAAATGATGTATTTTATGGGGAGAAGAGAGATTATGTTGTATTTAGAGATGGTGATAAGCTATTAAAATTGTTTCTACTTGCTGGGATGAAGGGAAAATTACTACTTTTTTTTCTCCTTTTTTTCTTTTTTTTTTCTGATCCACACTCCCCCACTTCTTTTTCTTTTGTATTTTTTTCTGTTTGTATTTTTTGTAGTTTGTATTGGCTTTTAATCTTTTCATTTATAATTCTTAATAAAATTAGTTTTTGTCTTTTTTTTTTTTAAAGGGAATTTATGTATTTAGTCAGGGAAAGTATGCAATGCATTCCATCGGCCAGGGACTTGCATTTGGTGAGTCTCAGGAGGTGGGCCTTCTCTGCTGTGGCTCCCTTCCTATGGAACATTCTCCCCCCTGAAGTTAAGTTTGCCCCTTCCCTGCTGTATTTTAGGAAGTCCTCAAGACCTGGTTATGTCATCAGGCCTAGAGGTCTTTGGGAACTGGAGACATTCTTAGATGGCTCCACTATGATTGATATTCTGCTCTCTCTGTGAGGTTTGTATATTTTAAAATCTAAAATTTTTAAAAACGTTGATAATGTTTTTATTTTAACAATCACTTTTTATCTTTTTAAAATGATTTTTATCCATTTGTTATTTTATTTAATTGTTGTACGCCGCCCAGAGTCACTTTGTGTGAGATGGGTGGCTATATAAATGTGATATATAATAAATAATTTAACCAAATTATAAGTACATCTCTAACTATAATTTTTTAAATAGCCATGTTTAATATTTCTATTCAAAAAGACATTTATGTAGATACAGATATTCTAGGAGGAATTACTTTGTTGATAAAACTAAGAAATATAAAAGCCTTTCTCTGTGCAACAGTCTAAATGAGATTGGAAAAGCCATAGATTGGTTCATTTATCAACTAAGCCACCATCAGGCTTTCTTTGGTTTTGGCTTGATGTGCTCCATGAACTCAACCAACTCTTATTGTTCAGCAAACCAAAGCTTAGCACGAGGTCTGAACTGGGTTGAACTATTATTGATAATCTTAAAACAGCTGGAAGTTAGAAATCCTTGATGACCTACCTCAAGGATCTCAAGGATCTTCTGATGTAGCATCTACCCTTCATGGAGTACCATGGCATCCTAATTAGCAACTACTGACAGGCTTACTTTCCATGAATTTATCCAAGCCCTTTCTAAAATTATTGATTAGCGGTCATCACTACAAGAGAGGAGGCTGCTTCTTTTATCCTGCATCTAAGTTTCTTTGGACCACTTGGATGGCTACTGCTAGAGAAAAAGTCCTGGACTGAGCAGAACAATTTATTCTGTATATGCTACATAATTTCTGAAGCACAGATAGTTAACTGGCTACATCTACCCAAAACTAAATGAGCCTCGAGTTTTTGTTTCCTGTGTAGACTACAGGAACTGGTTAGGAGTAGAAATGGGAATTTGCTAGTTACCGAGCTCCTTGTGAGAGCAGGTTATCTGCATGCAAATTGGTGGATCACAAGTTTAATGGATCATTAGTTCCATTATTATTATTACAGGACAGTTTCTGGGCAGCTTACAATTTAAAACAAAGCAACAGTACAAAGAATACAGTATACAATATAAAATATACAAGATTAGTATCTATCTGAACGACACACCATATATACAGGAAACTGTATTAAAACTGCTGTTAACATTAATAACATGGATATTAGAACCCTTGCAATCCACTAGCATTCAGCTAGACATCTGACATGGGCCTGATCAATCTCTTCTGCTCAGTTTCCACAAGTATGATGGGTCAAGGACAGTTTCTAGATATGGTAAATGCAGCTGTGTATTCTAGATACCAGGCTGAAAACCTACACATATTTACTTGGGACTAGGAAGCAATACCTGAAAACATGTTCTGGTAAGTAATACCTACAAAAGAGAGGGCTTGCACACACAGATCTCCAGAAGAGCTGTGACTATAACTTCCAGATTGCAGCCAACATGGCCAGTGCCTGACTGACTACCAGCTCTGGGCCACAAACCCCAGATGACCTTGGGAGCCTATCTTTACTGACATCTTGTAGTCAGGCATTTTGTAGCGCAGATCTGGTAACCTTGGGCTTCACTAGGGAGTTTTTATTTTACCTTTGTTACATTTCCATACTACTCTTCTTCCCAGAAAATCCCAGAACAGCTTGTAAGAGAATAAAAAGTTTGCCATCGCAATAAAACTAAAAATGCTCAAAAAACATAAAACAAAATTCATTTGGAATTCAGTTTTTCTAGAAAGAAAGAAAGAAAGAAAGAAAGAAAGAAAGAAAGAGAGAGAGAGAGAGAGAGAGAGAGAGAGAGAGAGAGAGAGAGAGAGAGAGAGAGAGAGAGAGAGAGAGAGAGAGAGAGAGAGAGAGAGAGAGAGAGAGAGAGAGAGAGAGAGAGAGAGAGAGAGAGAGAGAGAGAGAGAGAGAGAGAGAGAGAGAGAGAGAGAGAGAGAGAGAGAGAGAGAGAGAGAGAGAGAGAGAGAGAGAGAGAGAGAGAGAGAGAGAGAGAGAGAGAGAGAGAGAGAGAGAGAGAGAGAGAGAGAGAGAGAGAGAGAGAGAGAGAGAGAGAGAGAGAGAGAGAGAGAGAGAGAGAGAGAGAGAGAGAAAGAAAGAAAGAAAGAAAAGCAAAGCAATTTGGCTATGTGATCCGATAAATGTTTGCGTGACAGACCTGTTTTTAAACGGTCAGAAACTGTGATCCCGACATCCGGAAAGCACCAAGTTGACGAAGGCTTTCAACTTAACATTTTAACAAATCTCGCAGCATCCCCATAATTTCAGCGGGCTGTTAACACTCTGCTGTGTCGATGTGTTTGTCGCGGGGAGAGCGGGCAGTCAACTCGCATTTGCCCGGGCCGTGAGACGGCCGCTCCCTCCCTCGCCCCACTTCTCTTTCACCCCTTTTGCTAACTACTGCAATCGAGGGGCCGCGCGCAGCCCTGGAGAAGTCGTGCCACGTCCCCGTGAGGGAGGGAGGAGGAAGGAAGGAGAAACTGCAAGCAGAAAAGCGAAAAAGTTGAGCGCGTATCCAGCCAGAGAGAAGTGACTTACCAGGCTTCTTGCCCCACCATTCTGCCCACTGCACGGTGAGATCGCTGTCAGCTCGGATCCAGCGTATTATCTGCAAGATTATGTAGGCTATGATGCAGCCTACCGCTATGCACTGATAGCAGATCTCCATGGCGCGCAGAGAAGGCAGGAGCGCGGCAGGAACACCCGACTGTCCCTTCTTATAATGGGCAGGCTTTCCCTTTTCGCCCGCAGCTACAGGCAGGGAGTGGCCGCTGGCTTCGGGCGGGCTCCTTGCCCGGGTTAGAACGACTTTACGGGGGTGGAGTTTGTTTTCCCCGCCTCCCCTGAGGTATTTAACGTGTGGCCTTTACAGTCCCCACCACTTTGTTTCCAAGAGTTTCCTCACAATTTCCATTTTGCAAAGGGGTAGGGTAGCCTGGGCTTTTTGGCCATAGGGATATAGGCTGGAACGTTTCTGGCATGCCGTTCCGTTGCCCAAAATAGCAGTCAGATCTATAAACATCAGCCAATAGATGTTCTTGCCACTGAACTATTTTGTTGGATAGGATTCAGTGTTCAAGCCTATAAAGGTCTTTTCGAACCTTGAGCTTGTCTTCTGAAGTGTTGGCAATCTCCCTTCTCCCCACAGCCCCAGCTTTGTGTTGTTTGCAAACTCAATGGGCATCTCTTCTATCCCTTCATCCAAGTCATTTATGAAAATGTGGAAAAGCATTGGGCCCAGGACAGAACACTGGCATATCCCACTGGGTACCTCCCTCTGTTGTTTCTTCAGTTCCTGGCTCTAATCATCCCCCAGTGTTCTGTCAATCTACTATAGTAGGCCAGAATCTGGTTAAGCCACACTTACTGCTCTCAAACTCTCTTAAGAACATAAACAGTGCCCGGCTGGATCACACACCTGGCCTATCTAGTCCAGCAGTCTGTTCTCACACTGGCCAACCAACTGCCCATTAGTTTCCCAGCAGATGGCCTTCACAGGAAGTAACACTCTCACAAAGTTAATAGCGACTGATCCCCATGACTTCCATGAATTGGCCCAACCCTTTTTTGAACCCAGCCAAGCTGATAGCCAGCACCGCCTTCTGATCCTCTTGCTTCTCTGGGTTACATGCTTTCCCTTGTGTCATATATAATATTTTGCAAATGGGGCATGGCTTAGCTTCAGTTGAAGATGGTATGCTGAATATCTTGCTTGTCCTTCAACCTGCTTGTTTTAGTTATTATGAACTGCTTATCTACACTGAATTACCTTCTAAAGCAATTAAGAAATGCAAAATGTCCAGGAGAAAACTTCACAATAAACTAAAGGGATCAAATCATACATGAAAGAGCTAAAAACAGATAACTAGCAGTCCTCTTCCAGTGGAGAAGAAGATGAGGCCAAAGTGTGGCCTACAGTCTCTGAGTTATCACTCCAAAGAGGATTCTAATACTATCAAGCATTTACTTAAAGAATTTAAATGGGACCTGAAGCTGAGATTTATCTTCAATAAAAGAAGATTTAGCAGGTATGCCTGAAAAATTAATAAACAGTTTAAAAACTTATCAAGGAGGACCTCCAGAATAGATATGGCAAACTGAAGACGGCTCTGCGAAAGCAAAGCTGACAACCAAAGCAAAGACCAAGGAACTAGTCAGTAGATCGGTTCTTTGGAACCTCTCTGGATAAGGAAAGAATAGGAGATTGCCCATGTGTGCTCTGGATAGCTGCTCCTCGCAAGAAGACTGCAGGGCAGCAGTTTTCCGTGGGTTTGAGCACCAGGAGACAATGGGATTAGCCATCTTGCTCGCAACAGAGACTTTTACAGGACACTAAGTTCACAAACCTCACTTTCTAATCACTTTTGGAAATTGCTCATTAACTACTTCCAAGCTATTAGAGACCTTCAGAATGACAAGCTTAAAAACTCCAGGTGAGTCTGCCTTCAATCCTGAAAGAACATTTTAATCCTAAATTTAAGAATTTAAAGAATCTGAAATAAAGAACAAAAAGCTAAATAAGATTTTGATCTTAGAAAGTTATAAATGAACTAAGGGTCCAGATAAAATTGGAATATTGAAACTTTTACAATAAGATTTTGGAATTAATTATAAAGAACAAACAACTTCTCGGGGGAAATAGATTATGTTTTGGGTTTTACAAGACATAAAAAAGATAAGCAATTTCATGATTTCAAAAACTGGACACTAGAGGGGACTAAAGGTAGAGGATTTACAAGCCTGTAAAATGTTGCAAAATGTGGTAACAATAAAAATACTGAAGGAGACTTTTGAAGAATAGAATGAGAAAATAGTAGCCACAATATCAACAATGTAAGTAGATGTTATTGAAGAAATGACAGATGTAGAACTAATTTTATCTGACAAGATGGAGATGGTATTGAAAATGGATTTACAACTGACAGGCCAAGAGAATGACTTAGAAAAGGATGTTTCACTGGATCTACAAAAGAAACTGGCTGAGGTTTTAAAATTTAAAAGGGAAATACAAATGACAAACCAAGAGAGTGAAAAAGGATGTTTCACTGGATCTACAAAAGAAACTGGCTGAGGTTTTAAAATTTAAAAGGGAAATACAAATGACAAACCAAGAGAGTGACCTAGATAATTTCTCCTATTGAATTGAAGAACTCTGTGAGATAGAACAAAGAAATCAAACCGTATGACAATATTTGAATGAACTTAAGATTCAGAGGGTTAGAAGTAAAAGGAAGGAATATAAAGTTGGTTTATTTGATCAAGGTTAAAACAATATATGTTGATACTTTGGGCAACCCTTTATGGACTTTCTGCTGATATCAAGACTGAAAAGATTATGTTTTATGGATTTGTTTATAGATAAGAGATGTGATATGGGATGAAAGTAAATGTTTATAATCTTAGAGGGGGTGAAAAGTCACTAAATTTGTTTATACTTGTGATCAATTCAATTCAATTCTTGTTTTGACCACAGGTTGTAACAAATAAGGTAAAACCTGCACAAAAGTGGCCATACATTGATAAATACATTAAAATATACAAAAATCAGTAAAACATTAAAACAGTGTTATTACAACCAGTAAAATATTAGAAAACATTAGGAACATTTGATAAAAATATTCTCCCTGTTTAGCAGCAGCGGGTGCAAAGCTTGCTAATTTTCATAGTAGTGTCTCCTTGTCTAAATTTATTATATATTCAATTTTAAATGAATCAGGCCAAAATAATTTTCTTATCAAAAGGAGCTCTAGAAATTTTCCACGTGCTGAAGCAGAAATAGGGCAGTACATTAGATAATGGGTAAAATCTTCTATACTTTCCTTGCAACAAGGGCAGAATTGCATATTATATGGGATATTGTGAAATCAGCCCTCTCTAGTTCCTGATACCATTTGCTGGAATTGTAGTCTTGTAAATGCTTCCTGGAGGGATGGCACTGTAACACACTTCAGATAATGTTCGCATTTGATTTTGGTTTTATTGAGTGCATACCAAGGGGCAATTTTATTTTGTGATAATTTAAACAAATTTCTTTGGACAAAGACACCCAGCACCCTGTTTTTAAATAATAGACTACTATTGGCGTTATTTGAGTTCAGAAAGAATTCTGGGGAAAAACAAAAGGTATGCATATGATTGGATAAAAATGTAAACCAACTGGTGTGAGAAGGAATGGTGTGAGAAGAAATTCATTTGCTCCAGGAGGCACCACTTAACAAGTCGGGGATCAGGTAGTTCGAAGAGTCTAGCCCAATAATTAAATGCACTTACAAGTATTCTAGCTTTAACTGGTCATGTATCAGTTTCTGCATAGAGAAAGGGGATAGGAGTACCATTGGGTACACCTAAAACCATTCTAAGGAGCTTTGTTTGAAAGAATTCCATATCATAAAGGGTAGAAATTCCCCATAACTCTACTGCATACGAAAAGTAAGGAACTAACTTGGCTTTTAAAAGAGTTAGGATTGGAGGAATTTGTCTACCACTTGTACGCCAAAACTTTATTATTCCTACCAAAGCTTTCTCAGTTTTTATTTTTTGGGCCCGATAGTGAGAACACCAGCTGCCTGAAGCATTAAAAAGGATGCCCTAGTATCTGTAAAAGAGAACTTGCTCTATGTTATATTCCCCAATTCTCCATTTGTGTCTTTTCCTTTTCTCTCCAAATACCACCACCTTTG